TTATTTGATAATTAGTATAAGTATAGTTGACAAATCCGCTCAACATATATTCCCGACCGACTGCGATTGACATTTAAAACTTTTAGCTATTTTTTGACAACTATCGCTCCGGCTAAACTTTAATAAATGTCAAATCTATTGCGATCCAATGACACAGTTTAATTGATGTATGATACGGTAGAATACATAGATATCAGTGGTGATAATCAGATATTATAAAAAATTTTAGATTAAGAGTGATAAATAAAAATAGAAGGAAGATGAGAGCGGAATTTAAGGGAAGTGTATGGCTAAGGCTAAAGAATAAAAAATAAATGAATTTTCGAGATGTATAAATATACACGGAGGAAATAATTAGGGAGTCGGCTGTTCCAAGAGAACTGGGATCAAAGCTGATCCGACTCATTACATACTGGCAGAAATATTATGAACGGTGAATTGGAAGAGCGGATAGGAGTCGAGGCAGAGGTGTCGGCGGGAATCCCATCTTATATCTTGTATTTTATCTCCTGAGCGCATCTTTGCGTTTACACTTACTGGTATTGAATAAAATACAAAGCTAAATTGCTGAGAGAATAAACCTCGCTTTGGCTTTCACTGCTCATAAAAGAGCTGCTAAATAGCTCGGAGATATTTTTAAAAAATCATCAAAACTGTCCGACAGCGCTATTTAATCAATATCTCCTCGGACCAATAGACAGTTATTGACAAAATAGCTGCGGTTTAATCTTCCCCTGAAAACATATCACGTATTTAAATAATTCGAATTTTCGAGCTAAAAAATCATTATTAGATTTTGTATTTATTTTTTAACGAACGCGAAACATTAGCTGAAAAAAAAAGTAAAATTTATTGACAATTGATAGACAATTTTAAATAATCTTCAAAATATACTTTTAATAATTAGTAATTGAAAAGTCAAATTTAACAAATAAAATTAATTTTTTAAGTGAATTTATATCTAAATATTTTTATGAAAATATAAACAATTTAAAAAAATAATAATACAATTATGAAGTTTTTTTTTAATAAATAAAAATAGTAACACTTTGAATTAGTTAATTTTTTAGTAATTGAAAAATGAAATTGAACAAAAAAAAAATTATTTTTTTTACTAATTTTTAAATGAATTTAGATCTGAATATTTTTGTCAAAAAATAAACAATTAAAAAAAAAAATAATAATACAATACTGAAATTTTTTTTTAATAAGTGAAAATAGTTACACTTTGAATTAGTAATTTTTTTACTAATTAAAAAGTGAAATTTAAGTCAAAATAAAAACAAGTAAAAAAAATACAATTGTAAAAATAAAAATTAAAGATTAAGCAAATTCCAACTGGTCTTGATTCAGACGGACATCGTAGTATTGAGCTGAGTGTGGGCACTCGAATTCAGCCGCTCGTTACACTCAACAAGATCTGCCAGTCGGAGGGTCGCCACACGCACGGTTCGACCTAATAGCCACCCAGGCGACCAAAAAGACAATAATAACAACAGCAACTGAATCTAAAAAGTAAAAAAAAAAAAAAAAAAAAAAAAAAAAAATAAGAGTAATCTCGAGACAGTGGTGTGTAGTCTGTTCAAACGGAGCGCCGGCGGGGTATCTCCACCAGCAGACTTGATACGCAATACAAAGCACCACCCACACATGTAGAAAACATAAAACACATACATGCCTCATCCCAATATCTCATTGTATAAAATATACGGCTGAGTAGAGTGTACGTGTGGGAAATGGTAGTTGCAAAGCTGAGCAGTGTCGCTCTATATATTATATCCATGTAGGTAGGTGTAGTGTGTCGGCCAAAGAAGAGAGGAGATATGTGATATGTGATAGATGCATTGGTTGATAGGATGCGCAACTGAGTACGGAGATGAAATACAAAACAAGAGGATAAAGACAGCTTGATGGAACACAAAGAGAAGAAGAGAGTAGAAATTTAGTACGCGACTACATATCCTAGTAGTGTAGCATTATATATACAGCTCTGTACTACTCTGTACTACTCGTTTGCGTTAGCGTGTATATATATGGCTCTACTCTGCACAATACAGTTGGCTTGGCTCGGTTGTACAGTTTTTCCCCATACCATCCTGGTGCCATCCAGCATGCCAGTGAAATGCCGACAAAGACAGCTACAGAAACGGAGAAAGAGTGATATGAAGTGAAGCACACTTGGCCGCGCGCGTGCCGACAGGCGCGACACTCGCCATCCTCACCCTCACCCGTCGCCGCCGCGATACGCCTTTCATCTCTCCGCCTCCCATCCCACTTGCCGCACTAAACGCTATCCTACACACACATAAATTTATATATTTATATGCCCAAGACACCGTTATATCTATCTAGACTCACATGCTGAGACATTTGCACAACAATACGACTACAGCCAACAACCTACCAACCTACCGACTATCAATAGAAATATATAGCTGTATTTATATATTTGAACAGCCAACACTTGGTTCGACTCGTAGACTATTCACATGACGTTACTCCGCTGCTGTCTTGGTCTTATTGTCCTCGTCTTAGCTTGTCATCTCCATTTTAGTCTTCTCTTCTTATTTTGGGCATGTAAGTAATAAGGGCTAGGGGATGGATTAGTAATAATAAGTTTTTATGTTAATCAAAGTTGTTGTTTAAGTATAGCTTCTTTATAATGTTTAGAAAAAATACTTAATATTCTTGACAGAAGAATATTATTTAAAATTGACTATTGTTTCGTCTGAAGAATTCTTTTCTCAATTCAAGTCAAGCTATTTCTTTATTTGCTTGTAATAATAGCAACAGATATTGATATTCTTCTGTAGAATTTTTTCATTTTAAAAAATTCTAGAGTCAAGACATATTTTTTATTTTTCTGAATTTATAATTAAAAATTTATATTTACTATTTAAGATCAATATTAATTAATCTAAGACAAAAATAATTAATTTTTTAAGTATTCTAAATTATGAAAATTAAGTTAGCCGACATCTGCAAATTTTTATAATTTTTTTATTGAGAAAATTATTACAAAAAAAATTTTTTTAAATTCCATTTTTGTAAAAAACTTTAAATGCAATTTTTATAAAATATATTTTTAATCCAATTTAATAAATAAAAACTAGAAAAGTCGGCTAACTTTAGTATTATTGCTAAATTTCTAATTAAAAAAAAAAAAAAAAAAAAAAAAAAAAAACAATTATTTAAAACCCACAAAAAAATTTCTTCCCCGGATCTCAATTCTTTTCTTCTGCATCCACGAGTTTAGTTCAACGTCTGACATTAACCGATAAGATATCAGCATACATATATTATGTATTATATGTGTTGGGTGTAAATATGTCGATATCTGGAGTAGTGACCAGAGCTGCGTCGGTGGATACAGTCTAGCGTACCGTGAAGAGTAGAGACTGTAATACAGTATTACACATCAGACATATATACAGAGGGTGAAGATATACAGCCATAATGTATACCTACACACTCTCAGAAGCACAAGTGTATACATAGGTAGTAGCTCGGGTTTGCGAGATTGCCTGAGAGCAGAGTAGAGGCTGGGAGGTAGAGCAGAGTAGCAGAGTAGCCACAGGCAAGGGCACACGTCAACATGAACGTGAGCATTCTCCATCACGGTTGCTCGCAATAATTTCTCCTCTTTCTCTTTATCTTTCTCCAGAGAGCAGAGTCAACTCTTCTATCTGGCTCCTCTGGCTCCTCACTCCGGGTTTGCCTCCTCATCCTCCTCCGCAATCCGCAACTCACTCCACTAAAACTCCATGGCATACTCTCTACTGTGTGTCCGTGGTGCTTGAAACGGCACTACACTCTAGTAGCATACAGTAGTAGAGTGCGCCGGCTCCTCTGGCCCCTTCTCCACCGATCCAACCAAGATCCGGTCTCGCTCTGGAACCCGGAATACTAATATCAGTGCTTCTCTGTCGTTCACACTTGTCTATATCCAATATATTGTTACTCACTTGCTCTTTCGACTCTGCTGGTGGTTCTGGCGATACGCTGCTTCGCTTCGTCCATTTCATCCTATACATGTATTATCATTATTATTATTATTATTATTATTATTATTATTATTATATATAGGTATATATTTATACAGAGTATCCCACCACTTTTCTCTGGTCTGTTCTCTGTTCTCTCTTAAGCGGCGCGCACCGCGCTCTTCCACCCCCGTTTAACATTGTCAGAGACAGCCCGCTGCTGCAAGCCGCCTGCTGCCTCGCAGTTCGTCATTGGTCTTCTTACCAGTTGGATATCACACCGCATTACAAAACATATAATACCTAAAAATAAAATACAAAATTATTTTAAAATAAAAACAGTGTGTGATTTTACTAAAAAAAAATTTTACAATTTTTAATTGACAAAAACTTAATTTCTTCTTAAAGAAAAAATATTTTTGTTTACATTCAGACTGCTTAACGTTTATAAAATTAATTTATTTAAAGAAAAAAAAAGTGTTTGAAAATTGACAGTGCTTTAATGAGTGAAGATGACAAACAAAGTCAGGTGGTACTTACTGTTATGATTTATCATAAATTAAATGAGTGCGTGATTTAATCAGGTGACTGTTACTGTAACCAGTAGATTTATTCAGAGTGACGGCAAGTGGTCGTAAGACACGTGCATATAAACCACGTGTACTGGTGGCGCATTACCTTTTTACGGTTCCCATCAGACTGGATTTAAATATTGAATAAAAAATTTATTTTTAAAATGTGGATTATGTCAGAGACAAAGTTTTGAAAAAAAAAAAAAAAAAAAACGGTAATTATTATTTAATTATAAAGATTATTATTGTTGTTGTTGTTGTTGTTGTTGTTGTTGTTGTTGTGAATAAGTAATTACTGGTACTTGCAATTATAGTGGGAAGAATTTTTATAAAAGATTATACTTTCGGTGTGACGCGATGCTCAGTGCCTCGTTAGCAAAAGCGACCACAAAAACAGTGAAAACGTGTTTCTCAGTGAGCCCAAGGTCCGCGAGGACCTGCTAAAATGACTGCGCGTCTACACTCTCTCAGGCACCAGGACAAAAAATCTTTGGGGAGCGGACATAGACAGCAACAGCAACAGCAACAACAACAACCGCAGCAGCAAGTCGCGCCTCAAGCACCGAGTCCGGTTCCAAGTCCGAGTCTCAGTCCCAGCCCCAATCCAAAACACTCTGACGGACGTCGTGTAAGTATTTTTTTTTTTTATTATTATTATTATTATTATTATTATTATTGTTATTTTATTTTGTTTGGATTGCTGAAAATAAATTATACTTAGGTCTGTTAATAACTAGATACTTACTGGCATATGACACAGATATAACAGCCCCGCGTCCTCTGTATTTACTATTCTTCCCCTCGTAATCAAAAGTAGGCGTGTAATAGCTTCTATATATATTTATAATGTGGATATACATTACTTGTTAAAGAGTTTTTCATCAAAAGGAACTTTTATTGTTTATAAAACTTTTCTTCCTAAAAAATTGAAAAAAAATTATTAAATATTTAAAATGGTATTTAAAATAATTTTTAATATAAATTATACTTATTAATTATTAAAAAATTAATGACAATAAAGTTAGCAGTCACTTGACTATTTTTTAATTTTTTTCTAACAAATAAATTTGTTCTAAAAAATTGAATTTTTAATTTTTAAAATAATTAAATATCTGCTAAATTAATTTTCATAAAAAATTATTAAAAAAAAAATTTTTTTTAATTAATTTTGAAAAATAAAATATTTTTAGCAATGTTCAAATAAAAATAAACAATTGTTTAAAATTGTAATAATAAATTTTAAAATTTTTTAGGCAAACAAACCACTGATGGAGAAGCGAAGACGTGCGAGAATAAATCAGTCACTTGCCGCGCTGAAGGCACTGATACTCGACAGCGCGCGGCTTGAGAACACGAAGCACAGCAAACTTGAGAAAGCAGACATACTGGAATTGACAGTGAGGCATCTCCAGAGACAGAGAACTTTGGCGCAGCCGGGATTGTCGAGATACAAGGCCGGCTACCAGGATTGTTCACGTGAGGTAAATAGATTGATCTATTTATGCAGACATATTCACCATATCGAGGGTAATTTATTACCCCCGATAAACATGATTTATTGTAACAATTACCGGAGCAATAATTACGTGTAACTAAAGGTTAATTTGAATGCACACAGGTGGGTCGTTATCTGGACGCTCCTGACATAATAACCGGCAACACAACGCCGATGGACCCAGCAGTGAAGCAGCGACTGCTGCGTCACCTGGACAGTTGTGTCTCCGAACTAGACCTGGACCTTGGCTCCCGACCGGACAGCGGTCTCGGAAGCAGTCCGGGCAGCGTGACAGACCGCGTAACAGGTGCTGCGAGTCCCACCGGGCTTGACCACCATCACCACGGGCACCCTGTCGGAACAGCAGCTCCTCACTGCAGCAACCCCGGCACAGCGGTGTTCAACGCCAGTCTGATAAAGACCGAGATGGCGGACATAATGGAGACCCCGACGCCGATGGCCAGGCCAGACAGCAGCACCGCCGGGGACGAGAACAACAACAGTCGCCCGACCTCGGCGTTCAGCCAGGTCCCGGCTCTGGATCACCAGCATCCTCCGACCGGGATTCCGGTGGTTGACCAGGCCTCGACGTCTGGCCAGAACCCCAACATGCTCTCAGTGGTCCAGGTCATACCCTCCCGGCTGCCCGATGGCCAGGTAGTCTTCCTGCTGCCCAGTCATTATGTCCAATTGGCAGCTGCTGCCGCTGCCAATGGCATCAGCATTGGTCCCAATCCTCCGACGGCCATCTGGGCAGCCACCAATATGTCTCTCCTGAAGGCCACTGACAAGCTGGCCAAGCGGCCTCATCAAGATATGCCCCCCCAAGATTGGAGCTCCGATGGACCCAAGCCGATAAAAAGCCCCCGGATTGAGCAGCCAGAGCAGCCGCTTGACTTCACCACCACTTCCAAGAAGATCAACGGCTATAAACCTCCACTGGACAGCAATGTGATCAACGACATTGATGTCAGTCATCTTCAGGTTATGGATGACCAACACACCTCTAGTCATACCGATCCTGATTGCAATGACGAAATGGTGACCATAATCTCTCCGGAATCGACCTCGACTATTTCGCAGCCGGTTAAGGATGAAGAGGGAATGTGGAGGCCCTGGTAAATAATCTATAACCGAGTTTCAATTGTAATTTATAATAATAAAACTCACGATAATTATTGCGAGAGGAGATTTAATTAATATGATTGATTGGATGTGATGGGCGATTATTAATATCCTGCAATATCAGGATTCTTTTTGTCAATGTATATTATGTATATCTATTTAAATATTATTATTATTATATAATATAATCTACATCTATACGCATAAATATAAGTGTATGTATGCATAGTTTATAGAGAGCAGAGAATTTAATTGCCTACACAGAGCGTCGTATTGTATATATGATATATCAAATTGACACTAAAAGTATTTATCTGGAGAATAGATTTATTTTGACGTTATCTAGTTATTATGTATAAAAATCAGTGAGCATGTCCACCCTGTACGGGAACCAAGATACAGAAAGAGTATTATTATTAGTTATTATTATTATTATTATTATTATTATTATTATTATTATTATTATTATTATTATGTATATCTATTATAAAAGTTATAACTGTCCTATAAATATTCTTAAATATATTATAGTAAAATGTGAGAAACAGATTAAATTACTTAATCCTTATAAATGTGTAAGATTATTAACATTTAAGACGACACCGTTGCAATTTATTATTAAAAATGTAATATTTAAAACAGATAACTCCATATTCGATGTATATTAAGTTACAGAGTCAATATAATAAGATAAATATTATGTTATTTGTTAATCTAATAATTATTATTGTTTATTTATTTTTATCCGCAACACCCTAGTAGATAATTTTTATTTACTGAAGAATATATTTTTTTGTCTAATTTGTTAAACGTTTTATGAATAAGCTTATTTAATTGAATTAAACTAGCAACCTTGCAGTCACTAAGTGACTGCCGTGATTTGTGAACGATAAATAAATAAAATTTTGCTTTATTAAATAATGACTTTTGTTAAATTGCATTGTACTTTCTTAAATATTGACATTTCTAAAGATATAAGCTCACTCCGATGTTACACTCATCAAGAGCTTTCATTTGAGTACCCACATGCATTTTCGATATATTTTTCATATATACATATATATATATATATAATATATATAAATATATGAAAAATTGATGTGGATACTCAAATGAAAGGTCTCAATGAGTGTAACATCGGGATGAGCTTATATCTTTAAAAATGTCAATAGTTCACAAAATACAAGGTCATTTCTTAATATTAAATAAATAAAATATTTTAAAAAATGAAGAAATAAATATTCGTCAGAAAAAAGAGCGCACGCTTATAAAATATCAATAAATTTATAAAAAATTTGTCATTATTTTTTAAATAGCGGGTAATTATGTTAAAGAAATATTTTAATCAAAATATTGAATAATATGTATATGTAAAATGTATATAAAAGTAACAAAATAATTTAAAGCGAGGAGCAATTTGTTGGCACTCTCATCTCACCTGCTATAATTGAAGAGGCAAATTGTAGATCCCTAAGGCTCGTCGGCAAACATGCCCCAAGTCTCTGTGATCTTTAACGCTAATCAGACGCGCACCCTAGGACAATTATCTCACTCCGCTTTCATCCGTCTACTGAGTATCTTCACGGCAATAATGCAGGTGCAGCCAATCGAGGTAGACGGGTATCAAGCTACTATTTTCTTCCACCTCCTCTATCTCGGTCCAGTCTTTGCTAAACAGATTCTCGTTATATTTTTATCCCCTTTTTAAATAATCTTGGACTAACAAGTCTCTAACTTTTTCTCATCCACTTTAAATATACATGTATATCTTCTAAGGGAAGATTATCGCCGAAGGATTTAATTTATATCCACCAGAGATACAAAAATTAATTACAAGGTAATAAGCAATTTGTTTTAATAACTCTATAAAATATATAACAAATACATCTATTAAAATTTCTTTTTATTTTATTTTTTAATTTGATAAGTTTTAAGCATAAAAATTACGCATGTATACATAATTGTTTATATTTGCTCGATAAATTTATTTTTCTTCATTTTATTTATTATAAATACTTTTTTTTAATAAGTAAAATGATATTAAATATATGATATATGATATATATTTATTTATATTATATATATGTATATCAATATGGTTGTGCATTCAGGCATTTGTCTGTTACAAAATGTATTTTTACTTATATATTTGTTTTTACTTGTCAGCATGACAATTACTTACTAGTGTTTAATCCTTATTAATTGATAATTATTGTATTGTTATTATTTATTATTCATTATTATTATTATAATTATTAATTATCGTTAAACTAATATCGAAATAAATTTTTAGACATTTTAGACTGTAAACACTACAGTAATTTCAAGATTATTATTATCTTGCTATATTGATAAAACTCTTTTTGATATTTCTTCTTCTTAAAGTTTTTTGTACCAGAAGAGATAGTACTCTCCTTGGCTTATTTCAAGATCATCCACACCTAATTAAAACAAAATAAACACTATTAATATTTATAATGAAAATTAATTTAGCATATATTAAATAATTTTTAAAATTTTATAGCAAATAAATTATGGCAAAAAAAAATTGACATGTAGAAATTTAAAAAAATAAAAAATGCAATTTTTTTTAAATAATTTTTTGGAACAAATTTTTTTGATAAATAAAATTAAAAAATTGTTAAACGACTGCTAACTTTAATGTCATATATTTATAAAAATATTTTTAAATAATTGATAATTTTTTTTTTAATGAAATAATTTTAGAAAATTATTTTTTAAAAATTGCATTTATAATTTAAAAAATTTTTTAAAGGTTAAACTTTTTTTTTTATCAAATTAATTTAGCAGATATTTAATAATTTTTGTAACAAATAATTTATGTTAAAAAAAATTGACAAGAAGAAATTAAAAAAACAATTTTTGGAGTTTATTTTAAATTTCTTCATAAAAATTTCTAATTAAATTTATTATTTTTGGAGAAAATAAAGAAAGTTAAAACAAATATTTGTTTAATTTAAAATTTTGTTATATTAAAGAAGATGATAGTAAAAAATAAAAATGAAATGAGAAAACTTATCATCTCATCAATCGGAGCGGTGATATTTGAAACTCGGGAAGCTAAGTACTAAGTATAGTATAATAGATGATAATAATTAAAGTAATACCTCCAGGAGCGACGAGTTGATTACCCGGCGGAGAAGATAAGTCCGGCGGGGATGTGAGTCTGTAAAGTAGCCAATAATGATATGACATGGGTTCCTCTTTATAGCCCGCAAGAGTATGAACATAATGGCCGTTAGGCCACTCAGACGCTGAAAATTGAAAATGAGGAGACATCTCGGCAGCAAGTAACATAACTCCGTAAAATGTTTCGTTTTTAGGAGCTGTTACTGTCAAATGATAAGTTTCATTAGTTCCGACCCACAGGGTGTACGAAATATTAACCAGCTGATGAGGAGTTGTCTGGGTGGATACTTTTGACCCGGTCGATTCATAAGCGCTCGTATTTGTCTCGGCATTTACGGCTGTGCTTGATGATATGAAATTGTCGTTGAAGTTATCTGTCAAACGGTAAGATCATTAATTTATAAATTATTAAATGCTAATGTCAATTGTCAATTTTATTTAATTTTGATAACAAATCAATTTTAATTTTTTTTTATAATAATTTAATTGTTATAAAATTATAAAATAATTTTTAATATCTGTTAAATTCATTAATGACATATAAATTAGCAGACACTCTAAAATTTGATGAATTTTACTTGTAAAAAATAAAGTAGGTCTAGAAAATAATTTATAAAAAATTGCACTCATAATTTTTTAGAGCTTCTAAAGATGGAATTTTTAAAATAAATTTTTCTTGCTACAATTTATTACTTAAAAAATTTGTAATAATTAAAAATAAATTTACTTACTGTTAGGAACTAGACCAGGAAGTGTATTGTTGCTTAGCAGGCAGTTTAAGCTTCTAATATTAATAAGACTCTTGGGAATAATTCCAAGAATGACTTGGGCAGTTAAATAAACATCTTGATCAAAAGAACCGTCAGGCTGCTGACGTGACATCAGCCATGACAATGCTGCTGATCTGTTCCAATTGTCTGCGGGTTCGTTTTCCACTTGTTTGAGCGCCTGCATTGCCAGAGCGGTCGTCCGTAAATCACCAAAGCTTCCGTCCAGTCTCTGACGTTTTGTTAAACTCATCGCTGGCTTCCGCACAAAGTGACCAAGATTCCGGTGTCTGTGGTCCTGGATAATACATCTTAACGCCAGAACTACCATTGCGATTGTATCTGCAATTAAAATACTCGCTGTAATCCTTCATTCTTTAATTAAAATACCACTTCAATGGATTCCTGACCTAAAAACTTTTTTTAATCTCATTTGAATTACAACTTTTTTAACTGTGAGTGTTAACTTTATTTTTTAACTTTTGATTAAAAAAAAAAAAAAAAAAAATTTTTCAGATCCTCGATTAAATATTAAATTTAAATTGAAATAAGATTTGTATTGATATCTGGGGAATTAAACAGAGTTCAAGTGATGCTTCTGATATTGGTCTGTGCCAAAATTCACCCACTCAAGTGTTTTCTACAATATAATACATATTTTTACAGCTGTAAGTACTATTCACGTAATTTATATTCAATATTATATTCCTAAAAATTTTTTATTTATTTATTTATTATTATTTAAATAAATAAATATTATATTACTAAAAATTTTTATTTATTTAGGCAATATAAATTAAAGAATATAAAAAATTAATTAATCAAAATTTAATTAGAGAAAAACGAGAAAAAAAACTTTATAAAGTTATAAAAAAATTTTTTAAATTTTCTTTTTATATAAAAAAAATAAAAAAGAAGAAATTAATTATTAAAAATTATGGAGAAAAATTAAGACAATTTTAATTAGTAAATTAAAAAAAAAAAAAAAAAACTCTTACCAATATTATGATACTGAACAGCATTGGTAATATCTAAAAGTCTTCCAATCTGTCGTTTCCTAATATGAGCTTGAGCACTGCAGGCAGCTAAAGTAGTCAATGCAAAATCATAATCTACAGGCGGTGCGTGATGTTGAAGCGTCCCTATTAAATCATGACCGTGGAATTGTCGAGGATCCATACACAGAGCATTCAAAGCAAGAGTATAACGAGCTAGACTTGTTTCTGAAAATCCTACTTCTCTATGCCTGGACAGTAAATTCAAATTATCAGTAAGTATATTAATATTATATAATAATATTAAAACAATAGATAATACCTCCAGAGCAAGATGACAATCTCCAATTCCAACTGCTTGTTACTGAGTTGTAGCTCGACAGACACAGATAAGGGATTATTGTCAGTACGAGACAAGTTTGCTAACCTGAGAGCCAGAAGGACCCAGTGGGTGTTGTTGAACCACCCAGCGTCTTGATCTCTTTGGTACCAGAGCCACATGGTGGCACGCGATACCATCGACTCAACCTCCGCCTCCGTAGGACGTGACTCCACGTTGCTTCCTAATCAATCAATCGATTTTATTAAGGATAATGTCTCTGTTAAGGTAACGTTTTATTTATTTTTACCCATTCGGATTATAAGTTTACCTTGGCAACAAGCGAAGACAGACGCCAACACGATCAGCACAACAGCTCCCATGCTTGCTCTTCTCCACATTATTTATCTTTACAAAAAAAAAATAATTTAATTACTAATTAGTGTTTTTATTACTCAACATCGTTTTTATTGTCTTTGTTATTTCAAATAGTAGACTGTTGTTAAGGAAGTACAGACAAGATCGATATTACCCCGCGATGTCTGGCAAGCCCTTCTTGACTTTCATCCCCTATGGCTTGTTATTTCCAAGAATCTCTTGCACTAATTAATTATTTAGTCCCTCAACTTCTTCAGTTGTCAGATTTTTTTTTTTTTTTTTTCTATTTTTTTAACATTTAAAATTTTACTAAATAATTTTTAATTAAAAGAATTAATTTATTTTTTTGAAGTAAAAAATTTTTTTAATTTTACAAATAATAAATTTTTTTTATAATTTTTAATTTATAAATAAAAATTGAGTTAATATAAATATAAATATATTTTGTACTTACGTTTAAACACAAGTACTTGATAATATTTAACTAAAAAGTACTCGAAAAATGAAATCAATAAGGGCTGAGGTAAAAACGATGTAACTGGATAATTATAATATAATAATAACAATAATAACTTTATTTACTATTTTAAACCTTAGAGAGTAAATATTTAATAAAAACGGGTAAAACAAAGGTAAGTGTGGGGAGGCCTGTTGTTGAGTGACGATGACGACCGCGAGGACCACACAGTGGTGAAAAAAAAGGGTGATAAGCGTCGCGTCGTCACGTCGCGGTCTTTCGCGATACACGTTGCGCCTGCTTGGTGAATGCGCAATGCAGACTAAGTTAACTAGTGAAATTCAGAGCAGTTCTGAGCTGGCTATGATATCACCAACGGGGGTTCGAAGACCTTCTCCAACTTCCCCGCCTTCAACTCGCGTTTTAAACTTCAACCCTCATACTCATGCTCGCCACCCAACTCATCTCTCTAATGTATTCATAAATCATCTATCTCTTTTTTTAGTTTACCTAGTGTAATTTCGCCCGTCTCCGACATTTCCTCTCGGTATTACTCACTTTTATTTTTTAATATACTTCTGAGTAGAAAAAAAAATTCATTCCACGTTTCAATGGTCGTTATTTATTATTTTTTCCATTTTTAATTAAATATCTGATTATATAAAATCTAATAATTCTTATACAAAAAATATTTAAACTAAAAATTCTCAGAGATATTTTCAATAATTATTATAAATTATAAATACTTAATCATTTATTTATATTTAAAAAAACATTTTTAATCGACTGAGCAAGAGGATTTGCGTGATAAAATAAAATAGTTGTCAATTTTGTATCTAAAAATTTATCGAAATTGTTTCAGTGATTAAAAGTAATACTACGAAGGATGTAACTTGATATTTTGAGAATTAGGATCTAGTTTTTTGGGACTTAAGCTTATTTCTTGTTGTTCTTGGCGTCTGTGACGCATTATCGTCGACAGTGCACCGTTGAAACTCGCGGTCTTCTTTTTAGCGCTGCCTTTGGGAGTTGCTTCGCCCACTCTTCTTACAGGTAGTCGTGGAGAAGACATCTCGTCCATAAAATCAAAGTTATCTTTCTCTTCAATCCTTTAAATAATTTATTAATTTAAAATTTCACCAATAATATAATATTATGACATTAAAATTAAGAGACAGCTGTCTGTATAAGTTTAAATTTATTGTTACTAAATAATTAAATTTTCTTACTTGTAATCTGACATTTCGTGGTCAGGTTGATGACTACTGAGAGGTATTGGTGACGGTCCTCTCCTGCCGGGGCATTTCCACTCTAATTCTAGACACTGTTTATTGCACTCCATTTTATTTATCATATTTAACAAGCTTTCTGGTTTAAGATACCAGTCATCCTGTAAAATAAATAAAATTAGTTTATAAATAAATATAAATTAATTATAACAAGTGTCAAAAAATAAAGCAGAAAAAAATTAATTTAAAAATACCTTTGAAATAACGTCGTATTTTTCTTCATCGGAGCAATCAACGTACCAATCTTCTTCATTTAGCTCCATATTTACTTGTTTGTTATATGATTGATAAATAAGATTATTAGTGTCAAAACAATTTTTTTGCAGGGTTGTTGTTTTTAACTTAACCTGCAACATCACAACATCTCCGACTAGTGCTGCCCTCATCATCTCATAATTTATAAACAAGTAGCGTTTAAATGGAGATTGAGATTTATCGTTACTTTTGCACGATATAAAAATTGATCGCTGCTAATAAATATCATTTTTAGTCGATGTAAATTTTAAAATGATCTTATTAGTCAGATTAAAATTTATGAAGTTAAAAAATTATATTTTTAAAATATTACAGTAAAGTTTAACTTTTACAACTGATGTAATTAATTATTTTTGACATCAGTTTATAGTGAAATTTTTGAAGAAAAAGTTCAAATTAATAAAAAAAAAAAAAAATGGCGTCTATGGTGAAGAAGAAAATTATAAAAAGGTTTGTACTTTTTTATATCAATTATGAAAATTAAATCAGTTGACATGTGACAATTTTTTTTTTATTAAAAAAAAAAAAAATTTGACATGTAGAAAATTTGAAAAATTCTAAGTGAATTTTACTGTAATAAATAAAATATAGAAAAAAAAAAAATTGATATATAATTTTTGTAAAACTAGGATATCAGTAAAGTTGTCAAACAGCAACTATTAAATATATGTGATAAATGATAGCATATATAGAACTTTAAATAATGTAAACAAATACTTGAATGCATATAAAATAATAAGTGAAAATCGATTAAACAATTGCGGGGTTTGAGTAAACATAACAAGTTATTTTCGAGGATAACAATCAACTGTACTTGGTTTATAAATTTTTTCTTCGCTCTTGCAGAACTGGACATTGTCAACAATAATTACCACCGAGTGTCAAACTGACACGAACAAATAGACAGATATCTAGATGATGATGGCCATTCGATAAAAGTACCTTTCATACTGATTTCTGCGCACTCGATCGTCGTTCTTCTTCAGCTATGGCCAGGATTATCACCAACCTTAACACTAATTAAATAAAAATATTTAACAATGAGTAATTACTTAAATCAGTAAAAAATGAACAAAGTAACAAAGTCAGATCTTTATCAAGGATTATTTCCGATTTATCATCTAAGTAAAGTGCTGGGTTTATTACCAGTGCGGTTTGTTCGTCAGCGAAGTGATCGTTACCTCGGAAGCATTTATATAATTGATATCGTGTACGGGTGAGTAAACAAATTTAGTTTGTTATGAATGAATTATAAATAAATATTTAATTATTTGAGTACGAGAAGCGTTTGCTTGCTCGTATTTTTTTCAGTCGCCGAAGCATGGGGTCTCTGGCGAGATCTCAGAGACGGCTGGGAAAACAGTACCAGGTTGAAACATCAAACAGCGTTGAATATTACTATTGGTGACGTTACTGCTGTTGCTCTATTAGCAGCCGCTGGAGTTATTGGTGCTCCTTTTAGATGGAGACATATTCGTGAAATGATGGCCCGGCTTATTCATGCACGTAAATTAATATTACAATAATCTATATTATTAAGAGAATAAGAAAAATTTTTAGTGAAATTTAGTGTCATTACAATTTATTATGATAATAGGAACTTAGGCTGCATTAAAAAATTCTCTATCTCTAGATACATAATTAAGAAATGACCTTGTATCTTGAGAACTATTGACATTTTTAAAGATATATAAGCTCATTCCGACATTACACTCATCGAGACCTTTCATTTGAGTACCCACATCAATTTTTCATATATTTTATATATTTATATATATTATATACATGTATATATGAAAAATATATAAAAAATGCATGTGGGTACTCTAAATGAAAGCTCTTGATGAGTGTAATGTAACATCGGGATGAGCTTATATCTTTAAAAATGTCAATATTTAAAAAAGTACAGTGTAATTTAACAAAATTCATTATTTAATGAAGGAAAATTTTATTTATTTATAGTTTACAAGTCACGGCAGTCATATAATGACTGCGAGGTTGCTATTAAAATAATTTATTATTATTTAAAAATTTAAATTGCAGGCGGACGAACGTCTCGGCTATATAACTCCCAAAAAAACTCAAAGATTCGCTATTATTTTATCCATATCTACGATCGTATTTTTAATAATCTTAGCGTCGCTTGACATATATTCGTGGGACCTTCAGACTAAAATGAAGCGAAAAATGCCAGACAAAGGACCGATAAATTACTCCCCGCTTTATTTTTTCTATTTGCAAGCATTATTTACAGAGATCCAATATACAATAGCGACTTACAATTTATGCGAACGTTTTATAAGACTCAATAAAAATCTGGAAAATTTACTCAAGAACAGCAAGACCTATTTGCGGAGAGATAATGACCTTGTGAGCGAGGATAAATTTCCAATGACTATCCTCAAGTCGGAAGCTAGTGGTGGAAGCAATAAACATGACCGAAGACTCTTCAGGACTCCTAAAATATCCGGATGGACAGCTGAAGAACGCGGTGAACAATTACTATTGTTATTTACTATTGTTAATTTAAATATTTATTGTTTTGTTATTTTTAGAGTCTCGAGACGTGATGGACACGGTGATACAGCTGATTACTATTCACGCGTCGCTGTGCGATGTAAATAAACTGATAAACAAAGCTTTTGGGTTCCCGATGTTAATTGTTGCGCTGACGGCGCTTTTTCACTTGATAATAACGCCGTATTTTCTTCTGATGGAGGCCAGCAGCGACAGAGAGACCTTTTTTATAATAGTCCAATGCTTGTGGTGTATTCTTCATGTCTATCGGGTAGTTGTTGTCGTTCAGCCGTGCTATGCAACGACTAATGAGTCTCAAAAAACTGCTGTACTCACAAGCCAATTACTTACTTACTCTTGGCAAACAGAAATTCGTAAACAGCTTGAGATATTTTCACTACAAATTTTACACAGACCGCTTCATTTCACAGCTTGTGGACTTTTTTCATTGGACCGAGCTCTTGTTACTTCGGTGAAATTAATTGTTTAATAATTTTATCAAAAAACAAAAATTTACTTGAATCAAGTAAATAATTTTTAATAACTCCATCCTCTTGATTTCGATAAATAAAATGTTAAATTAAGAAATTTTTCTTGGTTTAAGTAAATTTTACTTGATTCAAGACAATTAAACTTTTCAAAATTATTTTTTTGTTCAAGAATTTTTTTCTTGACTCAATTTAATTTTTTTTTTTTTCTGTATATTTATACATTATTACACAAAAAAAATTTATTTGAATCAATTAAGGGGGATGGCCACTGTGAGGATCAAAGAAATAGGTGATTTTCGGGAATTTTTTTGACTGGGATAATAAAGGAATTCGGGGATCGGGTTTTTTTTTAATTTTATGAAGTATACATTAAAGATAACTTCCCTAAATTTTTATTAAAAAATATCATGTTGTCACAAAGTTATTAGCATTTTTGTGGAGCACCAAAAAAATTTCCCCCTCCCTGATGAGATCTCTAACTCAAAAACGGATTATCTAAAACGAAAAAAACGAAAGAGCGTTGTAATCTGCATACATGTAGTTACAGTTGCACGTAGGGGATTTTGAAAATTTGGATTTAAAAAAAAATGGCGACATATTAAAAATTTTTTCGTTTTTTTTTCCTAATTTTTTTCGATTCAAACAACCCTAAAAAATCTTAAAAATCAAAATTTTCAAAATCCCCTACGTGCAACTATAGCTATTGAATAGACGAATACGGGGAAAAAAAAAAAAGTTGCAAATCGGTTCATATTTATGCAAATTATAGTTCTCATCAGTTCAAAAAAAGTAGTTTCGAGAAAAACGCGTTTTCGTCGGAGTGCCGCGCGTGTTAAGTCATTTGACGCGCTGTCACAAAAATGACTATAACTCGGAAAATATTCGGAATTTTGATACCAAACTCTAGATACTTATTTATGAATCTATAATAAACTTGGATTTAATAAGAAAAAAAAAAAATAATTTATTTTTTTGGAAATTTCACAGTGGCCATTCCCCTTAAATAATTTTTAAGATTTTTATCTTTTTGGTTTGAGCTTAAAAATTTTTAAACTAAGAAATTTTACTTGATTAAAAAATTTTTCATCTTGATTCAAGATGATAAACTTCTTTTCTCCCCTCCGTGCGGAAAGCGTCAATTTTCTGCTCGCTGCGCTAAACGAAAATGCCGCTTTCCGCCTTCGTCGAGGAGAAAAATAGTATTCTCACCACGGGCAGGAAATAAGAAAGCCTCAGATTACATGTAATCTGAGACACTTCTTATTTTCCTGCCCCAAGTAAGAAAAATACTATTAAAATTATTTTCTTGGTTCAAGAATTTTTTTCTTGATTCAATTTAATTTTTTTTTCAATGTATACTTATTCTTAATAATTTATTTTAGATGGCCAGTGCAGTAACCACATATCTTGTTATTTTATTGCAATTTCAAAAAGCTGATGACACCAAAGACAGTACTAATGTACTGAGAAATGCAACATTATTACTAAAAAATGTCTCATCAACTGGAATCAAACTCATTACTTAAATAATTTATTAATATTCAATTTTTAAATTAAATTAATATTTAAATTTAATCTTCTACTTAATAATATTCACATTTATATGTATTAATAATAAATTAAATTTAATAGGAAAAATTAAATCTATAAAATAACACATTGTACAGTTATCAATTATTTTATCAATCAACTACAATGAAATTAGGTAATAAATTACAATTAAAAATTTTTTTTTCCAGTAATAACTTTTAAGTCAATATTTAAACTGAATCATTAATGAATATTATTTATTATTTATCTCAATAATTAATAATAAACTAATAATAAAACTAATTAAATTACTATACAAATCCGGTCGTTAATACGTGCCCAAAAATGATATCCATCACAGCCTAACTATATATGTGTATATATATATATATATATTAAATATGGATTGAAATGCATCAAAACATATTGGATTTCACCGCTTGACAAGAGAAGAAAATATACCGATACATACGGGTATCATTTTGCACATTTTTTTATAATTTTTTCTTATAGATACATGCAGCAAGTATTCCATTCAAAATACATATGTACAATATTTATTTTTTTTTATCAATATTTTATACTAAAACTACATTTTATTTCTCATTACATTACGATTACGATGTTATCTATTAAACACCAATTCTATATATGCATTGTCGTAAAAATATCATCATCATTATTAGCCTAGTAATAAATATTCGACCGATAATACGATCTTAATACATAATTATTTATCCTTTTTGTTTTATGGGTACCCAAGCTGCAACTAGGTATGTGTGTTGACTTATATTTTACATTAATATGATGATAAATGAGTAGAATGTGTCGAGTGGAATCTAATCTAATTTCTATCTAATAATTTATTAAAATTTGGTATGATTTATAATTTTCACTGTTAATATATTAATTATATAAATTTTTTTTTCAATAATAAATAATTAAATATATTAATTTTGAATCCAAATAAAATCAAATAAATAATCATCATCATCATTATTATTATTATTATTATTATTATTATTATTATTATTATTATTATTAATACCTAAAATTTCGGTGTTGCATTAATTGACAACCTGACCACTTGCTACCGAACTAGTGGTTTGATTTTTTTGGTAATTTATTGCTAGCGTCTCAGCACACCCGTTATCCTTAGAAATATTATTAGTGAGCTTGGACTTTGTACCGACAAAGGTTATTTCGGAATTAGAGGGTGTTGTATCTACAGAAGAGTCATTACTGTCCAGGTGCTTACTTGCAGCCGCCGTTGCTGATGTTATTGTTGTTGTTGACTGACGCAACGTATTGCACTGACAGGAATTAGCGTTCTGGTGGTGATGATGATGATGATGATGATGATGATGAAGCCGCGAAAAGCACTCGCTGCATACCCGTACTGGTGTGTAGAGCTGTTCACTTGGAAGTGGGGTCGAATTTTCCGAACAATCCGCACAAAATATTTTACCGCAACCCCTATGATTTAATAGACATTATCATTCTTTTAAGGTATAAAGCAGTCATTTATAAATTACTAAAAATAAATAATATATTTTTTTAGGTGTAATAAAATACCTGCAATGATGTTTGCGTCTACCCAACCAAAATTCAGTATCACAACCCATGCATCGATTTACTGCGTGGTCAGGTACCCAGAGAGTTGGCGCTGGTCCAAGTTCTTCTACGGCTTCCCAAGACATATCTGAGGGCAGAGATTCACCGTGATCTCCCGCACTGCCGACTGAATCCGGTAAGGATCCCTGAAAAATTTTTTTTTATTAAAAATATTTATTCATAATTTATTTAATAATAAAATAGTAAAATATTTTATTCAATAATAAAATAATAAAATAATAAAATAATAAAATAATAAAATATTTGTATTGAATAATAAAATGATAAAATGATATGTACTTACAATATCATCAACTCGATCATTTTCCGTATTATTATGATTATTACAAACTTGTTTAATAAGAGCTAAACGTGTCGTATGTAATTCTTTCCTCAAGGCTTCTTCTCTTACCTACACATTAAGCAGAATAAAATTATACAGTTAATCTATGAGTCAACATAATGTCATTAATCATAAATAAAAATTAAAAATAACGGTACTAATTAAATGATGTAGCAAAATAACATTAAAAAATAGTAGTATGATAATACTAGTGGAGTAATAAATATTGATAGTGTGTAACCACCTTGTGTTCAACAATAATTTGTTGTATGCGCAATTGTACATCACAATGAATAACAGGAAGGCCGTCAACATCGTCTAAACTATCAGGATTATCAAGGATAATGTCCTGATGTGTTGGTGATGCAGGGCATATACTACTGGGTGTTCTTGAATTTAAAGGAATACTTGTTTCACTAGCGTCGCTTATATCTTCTTGGTTTACACGATTGCACGTACATGGTGCTCTATCAATAGCCGCTGCGCTACTTTCTAACCAGGGTCCAACTCCGTTTTCAACCGATAATCTATTCTCTTGTCCGCTAAAACAAGTCATTTAATTAAATTTATTTTTAATTGCTCTGCTTAGGTACTACTTTGTCAACAACAACAACAACAACAACAACAACAACAACAACAAATCCTGTTTTTATTTTTTAATAAATTAATTTAAACAAATAAAAGATTAAACATCAAAGAAATTTTATAATCTAATCTAATCAATTGATTTTTATTTATTAAAAATAAAATACTTACTCGTCTTTTTTGCTGTCCAAGGCAGCTAAAAGACCCGGCTCACTGCTGGGTATCAAAGTATCTGTTGAACTGTCGACTGATGGATTTGCCGGGACGTCATTTGGTGTTTCATTAACATTATGTTTATTTAATTTAGCGTCACACTCTAATGATCGCTCACAAATGCTATGAATTTTTTCATCATCAGTACTTTCACCTTCAGTCTTATCCGAAACATTATCCAGATTCAATGAATCAAATTTTCTATTTATAATTGATGAAAATAAAAAAAAAAAAAAAAAAAAAAAAAAAAAATGAGATTAAGCATGGAGGTAAAAGTAGAGCGAGTAATAAAAAAAGTAAAGTAAAAGTTGTTTACTTTTCAATAGAAATACTAGGATCGCTCAGTCTGCGGTGAAGATATGCTACGTGGTCTTGTGTGTGAACAAGATCACCATAAGAACGTGTTTTGGTCATTTGTCCCTGTTGCGGCTCCTCATTGTCCGTCCCTTCAATGTCAATCAGAGAAACTCGCTGTTTGTCAGGTTTAGGTGACATTTCCATGGAACCGAGGTACACTTCAGACCAGAGTTTAAGGTCACGTACATTACAACTTGGCCATAATACCTAAATCAATAATCTATTATTATTCTCAGCACGTAAATTATACAAAAAAAAAAAAAAAAAAAAGTATTATAAAGAGCGTAATGTAAGATATTTTACTTGAAAATATAACTTGCCTGATTTTCCGAGGATGAATATAAATGGTTTATATAAGAATTATAATTAAGAAAACGCCATACTGAAAATGTACGATCTTTTATCCGTAATTGTAATCTTTCTTGACGGGTATTACACAAAAATGTACCAAAAAGTTGAGAATACGTATGCTGCGCAAGTTTTACCTGTAATTTAAAATTTAATAATAATAATAATAATAATTAAGCAGATATGGTCAAAGACCTAGTTATTGACACTTGCAATTTTATTTTAATTAAAATAAAAAAATCAAGTCTAATAAATTAATTAATATATATAATTTTTGAATTATAAATTTTAAGATAATTGATTTTTTAAGAACATTTTATTTTTTTAATTAGAATAAAATTGCAAATGTCAAACAACTAGGCCAGTGTCAGTAACTAGGTCTTTGACCTTAGATTTTTTTTAGCTTAAAAAAACAAACTACCTATCTGTTTAACAATTAAAAACACCGATCTTAAATTTACATATCGACGTTCTAATTAGCAAATTGTCTAACTCTATTGTAGAGAATCTTCCATTTGTATGAAAAAACAATTAGTTTAAAATTTATTATCACTTTAAAAAACCATTTAATATCTAATAGAGGTATAATATTTTAGTTTGGATCATTAAAATTATTTATAATTGAATTATTGCTAAATCAAATGTTAAAAAATCATCCTCTAAAAAATAAGGAGTTAAACCAATTGCTAATTAGATCGTCGATATAATAATAATAATAATAATAATATTTTATATAAATTATTAATCATACGTACGATATATGTACAGGACATTTGAAAACTACAAGGAAACTGTATAATTAATTGATGGACGCAGTCAAGCCACTGAAGAAATACCGGACATCTTTCATTAGGATCTTCGCAGCCGACAATTTGACCACAGCGATCGGCAAATTTGTGACCAAAGTCTAACCATTCTCTCTCACAAAGTATTTGAAAACCCTAAAGAAAATATATATCATTAATATATAAACTTTGAGGTCAATGTCAAAGGTACTATAAATAATTAATAAAACTTACTTCCATCGTTCGATAATATGGATCTAATAATATTTGGGCCAGGGCAACAATTTGAGGTGTCCTGTCCCATCCATCACTGCAGTGAACAAGTACAGGACGTCCGTCTCTTTCAATCGCGGAGGCAACAGTAACAGCAGCGCGTAGCAGCCCAGACATGTGCTGAAGCCACCTAGTTCCTTCCAACAAGCTCAGCCAATTCGGCTGATCAGCATCCGAGGCGCAGAGCTGTCTCACTGCGTGAAAGCTCTTCCTGATCGAGTGTATGTTCGGAAGGTTCATAAATTGTATGTCGCAATTGGGGTAATACTCTGGACACTCGCAGCCGCCACCACGTGCTCTGTTAGCGACGGCTGTTGTGTAAGATCTCGCGTCAACAATCAGAACTTTCTTCGAACTGTTGCTGCTGACAATACTAGTCGGTGTGTACTCGTTAGACTCCGGGTAACTCAGTGGAGAGTCCATCATCGTGGACTCGCCGCGGTCGTACGAGCAGGCATCTGACAAGGCTTTTAGCATCGCTTCATCCTCGGGCTCTCGCCAGCCAAGCCAACCAACTTCTGGCTGACTGCTGCGAGCTATCACAGCACCGTTATTAACGTTGCGCCATATCACCGCTGGAATCCGCCTCGAGCTCCTGAATTTAGCCACTAGTTCAAGTTTCTCGTCAGAAATGCACGCTGGTACCAGCAACTCTGGTGGATAAGAAGGACACATTCGGTAGTCCTTGTTTATTTGGGTTATACGCCAGGTACCATGTAAATTAAATTTCAATCTTTCAACCTGTAATCATTAATGTAAATTATTATTTTAATATTTACTAGCATGACTTGTAAACTATAAATAAATAAAACTTTGCTTAATTAAATAATGAATTTTGTTAAATTACACTGTACTTTTTTAACAATTGACGTTTTTTAAGACATATGTAGGGGTGTGCGAATATCGTTCGAATCGAATCGAATCGAATCGAATCGAATATTGATATTCGATTCGAAATTCGAATCGAATAATTCGAATTTTCGAATTAATCAACATTCGACGAATTATTCGTAATTTTTCGAATAATTCGAATTTTTTCGAATTAATCGAATTTTTTCGAATAATTCGAAAATTCAAATTATTCGATTCGGAACGAATAATTTGTAAGTTCGAATTATTCGCACACCCCTAATTTTAAACCCTAATCTAGTTAACTCTTGATAAGTCTTGATAGCAATAGCCACGCGGACATGTAAAAATGAAAACTCTAAATTTCTTCCAAGTTACTAATCTAATCAACTGTTTGGCCTAGAATCCTTGTAGAGAATGTGAAAACGATTCAATTGGTACATAAGAATGATTAATAATGAACTTATCGACAATTTCAAATACGGGTGTGCGAATATCGTTCCAATCGAGTATTGATATTCGATTTGAAATTCGAATCGAATATTAATATTCGATTCGAAACGAATAATTCGTAAGTTCAAATTATTCGCACACCCCTAGATATATGCTCATCCCGATGTTACACTCATCAAGAGCTTTCATTTGAGTACCCACATGCATTTTTGATATATTTTTCATATATACATATATATATATATATATATATATATATATAATATATATGAATATATAAAATATATGAAAAAAACGATGTGGGTATTCAAATGAAAGGTCTCGATGAGTGTAACATACATCGGGATGAGCTTATATCTTAAAAATGTTAATATTTTACAAGATGTTTATTAAATTACACTGTACTTTCTTAACTATCGACGTTTTTAAAGATATAAGCTCATCCTGATGCTACACTCATCAAGAGCTTTCATTTGAGTATCCACATGCATTTTTGATATATTTGTCATATATACATATATATAATATATATAAATATATGAAAAAATGATGTGGGTACTTAAATGAAAGGTCTTGATAATTGTAACATTGGGATGAGCTTATATCTTTAAAAATGTCAATAGTTTTTAAGAAACAAGGTCATTTCTTAATTATGTCTCTAGAGATAGAGGATTTTCGAATGCAGCCTAAATAGTTATCATCATAAATTGACATAAAAACCAATTTTATAATATAAATACACCGGCCACAAAATTTTTATTCTTTTAGTAATATAGATAATTTATTAACAATAAATTCTGATAAATCTTACTTCTGAATTAAACGACGCGATGTATGAATTATTATCCTTTCCAAGCCGAAGATAATCCCTGCCTTCTTCCACCGACCAAGCGTAAAATGCGAAGCAAAATATCTCCTCGATATTTTTTTTCGTATAAGTTATTTTATGTAATCGCTTGAACCACTCTAAGCAGTGTTCATTTGTGGAGAATGCACAGCTGAAAGATAATTGTAATTTTTATAAAATATACATTATGAAACTCAATATGATTTGATATGCATGAAGAGGTGAGATATTGTCAGTACCTCACTGAGCGTGCGTCTTTACAGCTTATGTGTAGAAAAAATATTTCTTTAACTTCTAGCTGTTCAATAAGACCTAGCGGTATATTGTAGCACGCTTGGCTCAATTGTAAGTACAATCTGTAATTAGAGAGAGCCAATGTGCCATCGGCAGTTCTTCCCAATGCCACGACATATTCACCACTCAAAGGTGTAAATGGTACACTCAGTGATGGATCGTCTGTTTCATAGTGAGCGTGTTTTGGGAACAGCTCTGAGGCTCGAATATGACAAATTGACTGCAGACTTGATGGTTCTTCTGATGTCTCCATAATTTAACGGCAATCTAAAATTATATTATTTATTTAATATCATTAATTAATTATCATAATATTTAAATATTTCATTTATAAATACCTAAAAATTAATTGTATTATTTAAATACTTTCACTGAATGTTTTAAATCGTCCACAGCACGATCTTGAAAGGTCACACCAGTTCCACTTTTAACAACTCTACAACAAATATTTTTTATATTTTTTATAATTTGTTTAACTATACTGAGAACAAAAAACAATCAATATTGAATATAACTTTGCAATTTTTGTTTATATAACCTAAACAAATAATTTCATTAGTATTAGTTTTATAAATATGCTATTACTTTCGATAATTTAGTACAATCAATAAAAAAAATACTGTCTCACTAATGACAGCAAAAAAAAAAAATTGATTTATCATAAGAAAACAACAGATTGTACCGAAATGTCAAAAGAATCTTAAATGTTTACTTAAATAAGTACGTCACAAGCACAAATTAATGATTCTACTGAATGAAAATTAAGTTAGCTGACATTTAAAAATTTTTAGAATTTTTTTTTATTGAAAAAATGATCAAAAAAAAATTTGCACTTGTAAAAAACTTTAAAAACTGTAAGTGCAATTTTTAAAAAATATTTTTTTGTTCTAATTTAATTAATAAAATAAAAAAAAAAAATTTTAATCGTCGGTTAACTTTAGTATTATTTCTACTGAGTAGATAATTTTCTAAATAATTATTTTACGTACATGTGTATGTAATTAAAAAAAAAAAAAAAAAAAAAAAAATAAAAAATAACACTATTAATCAATAAAATTGATCACGCAAATTGTTTATCCTCGTGATCATTGTCATTACAATAATTATTTACTTATTAAATCGTCATGCATACACACACCGTTTGTTAAATTATTTTCCTCTTTAGTGAATTATTTAAATAAAATAATCCACAGATTTATTGCTCCTGGATGACTCGGTGAAACGGAGTTGAACTTGTCTGTTAATATTATTTTGACAATACTCAAAATACGTGATCGTTGTAGTAGTATTTAACTTCAAACAAGGTCTACGACGGAGGCCATTCTCTTTACACACACTTCCAACTCGTCATTTCTTAAAACAATTTTTCATTTTTTATTTTTATATCATTTATCTCTCTTTATGTTTATATAGAAGATTATTTTCTTATGTCTGTTATTAATATTTTTTCTTCACTCTAAAAATCCCACTGATCTCTCTAAAAATAAAACAAAAACATTTTCATTACTACTAAACAATAATATTAATAATAATAATCAACTGTTAACAATAACAATATTAATACACATTAATTTATAAAGAATTCACACAGCTGTAAACAATAATCGTAACGTAGTACATTAATCGTACGTGATAATTATCGTGTCTTTCACATCAATGACGAAACAAGCAGTTTTCATTGCGACGGCAACATGTAAATTAACAAAAATACCGTCTCATAAGCGAAATATATTTGCGAGTATATATATAATCCACGATTTTCTTATCTACAACCAGTAAAACACCGAACACGTCCGCTTGCACTAAAAAATTAAAAAAATCTCAATGAAACTCCGAATTTCACTTTTTTTTACAATTAAATAATTATTATTAAATTTTAACAACAATAAAACTTAAAAATAAAGATAAATTTTTAATTATACTGAAGTTAGCCGTCAGCTGTCAATTTATTTTAAAAAATTTTTTTAAATAAATTACAATAAAAAAATGCTTCTAAAATTTTTTACTTGTCATTTTTATAAATTTTCACATGTGGAATTTTTTAATTAAACTTTTTTTATAATAATTTAATTACTATAAATTTCTAAAAACATTATTAATATCTGTCAACTTCAGTGTCATAATTTTTATAATTTTTATAATAATAATAATTTTTATTATACTGAAATTAGCTGACAACTGTCAAATTTTTTTTAATTTTATAATAAATCAATTACAATTAATTAAAAATTAAAAATATTTCTAATAGTTTAAAAAAATTTTCACATGTGGAATTTTTAATTAAAATTTTTTAAATAATAATTTTATTTAAAAAAAATTTCTAATCACTGCCAACTTCAGTGTCATAAATTTTTTCTAAATGGTAATTTACAACAATGAGCAACAAGACACAATTGTAGACGAGACGCGCGCGCAAATGTACTTGATCACGACTTGCAATTATACATATATACTACATATGTACATGCTTATATATATATATATAAGTATAATATAAATGTAAATGAATACAGATATATATTTAGTGTTATATAGCATGTTATTTATGTATGTATGTGTCAATACTGATATGTACATACACATAAATATAAATGTGAATATATATATATATATATATATATATATATATATATATATTTTATTATTATATTATATACTTTTAGAGATGCACTACGTCACACGGCATTCAATAGCAAAAGACAGCTAGCAGCAACTGAACATTAGATTATATTCACAAGACATGTTAACTTGGCAGGTCTTTAACTAAGCCACACACATGGCAAAATGTAAATGGAGTGTGTGTCAAAGCCAGTCAAAGTACATCAAGGCGTACTCATATCGTAATCATTCGCATTCACTGTTTTACAACTGTACCTACAATATAATATAATATCATATCATAGTCGACATTTAATTACTTCATTACAGATGATCCAACACGAAGCATTAAAAAAAATCTATTTATACACTCGGAGTTGTTTTATAAATATAAAAGTCATATGCAGCGAGACAACACCAAGTAAACACTCTTCGAAAACAAAATCTTTTTACGGCCAACAGTCATTGTATCTATATATATATATATACACATATATGTATGCTATGGTAAATGCTAAATGATTGATATAAAACGTAGATTTTTATAGGCAATTCAGTACAGGTACTTACTTATCGATTGCAAGAAGCTTTAATGGTGACACTTTCATAATTAAACGTTACAATAATTGTGTTGTGAGTATACCTCTCTTACTATCACCGAGAATAATGTCCTTTTAGGTGGATCGTGTACTGATTAGGTGTGCGGAGAGCTACAGAGTAATATAACATTACATTACAGTTGGGCATCCAAGTTGTGTACTGTCTGCTGCCTGCCTGCTGTAATTTTTTATGTCGCGTTGATCGTTGGATACTGGCCTTAATGTTTTATTTGTAATTTTATATTTTATATTTATACCGGTGCTTAAAAAGTCACTTATTCGTAGTAAGTATGTAAACATTGCTATTGCTTTTATATCAAAGTGGTAAACCACGATATAATCTGATACTTTTTAGTCAAACTTTTTTTTTTTTTTTTATTTCATTTACAATTTTTACCGCACGTAAGTTATTGACCTTTATTATTTAAGTACATAAAATAATTTTTTAAGATAATTTTTATGAAAATAAATTTAGCAGATATTTAATAATTTTTAGAATTTTGTTTTTTAAATTACGGCAAAAAAAAATTGACATTATTGACGGTAAAAATTTTAAGAAATGCAATTTTTTAAAAGTAATTTTTTTGAACAAATTTGTTTGTTAAAAAAATTAAAAAATTCTGTAGTGATTGCTAACTTTATTGTCATATAATTTTTTTCATACCAGCAAATTAACTTCCTTTTTTATTTTTTGACGTTAAAATTATCTTCTACTGCTTAAATAATTATTACTTGTCAATAAAACTGTTCAAATATTTAATCTTAAATATTTAAATAAAAAAAAAACTTACGACTAACTTATTTAACTATAATTAAAATTTAAATAAAAATGTAAAATGAATTTTTTTTATTAGTTCTGAACTGATTTAACTGGACATTAAAAAAGAAATGATAAATATTAATAGTTAGCGTACTTATCAATAAAGATTGATGTTAATAAAAGTATAAGAATATAAAAGAGATTAAATGAGACAAATTGTGAGAATTAATCTTAGTGTCTAACCACTTAACCATCACAATTGTTTCCAAAAGTTTGGATTTTGTTGCAGCCGTCGCTCGAAAGTCTCATACCAGCCTTGGACTGACGACAGCGGTACGAAATTCTCCGAAGGGTTGGGAGTCATCTGCGACTGAGTTACTGAGAAACTAGACACGTAATTCATGAAGTTAATGATCATCTTCTGGGCGAATTTAACGTGTGACTCAGTAGTTGTGCTTGCGACTAACGCCGACAAAGGTTCAATGGCTGAAAGCGGCTCCACAGAGATTCCTATTTGCGCAGAGTGAGATATTTTAGCGCCGAAGATCCCCAGGTTCGCGTTCTCGAACTCGTGGTTCTTCTTTAGGTCAGATATCCGGAAAATCGCCGATGGTTTGTTGTTGGAGATGTAACCTAGAAATTGCCAGTTTGGAGGAGCGTTCGTGTCTGGCCAGCTAAAGTACACTGAAAATTTATTTATACAATTAATATTTAATCAATTACAAAAATGTCAAAATAAAGCGATGAGAATAATACTAAGAGTAAATAGATACACGCCGATTAGATGTATGTTAGACGCGCTTTGTTTTCTGTCAGTTAAAAAAAGGATAAAATTTATTGTAGGTATTTTTATTTATAAAATGAAGAACAATTTATTACCTGATTACTTAAATAGAATTAATGTACAAAGTGATCACAAATATAGAACGAGGAATAAAGATAGACTGTTAGTGAAAAAATCAAGAACAACAGCAGGAGAAAAGACAATAAATTCATTTGGTTTTTCACTGTTTAAGTAACAGATTAGAAGAAGAGACACAAAATGCGACTAAGTTAGCAATATTTAAAAGATTGTTAAGACAACAAATAAAGAATGGCAATATCTAAATAACAACTAAGACAGAAACATTGTATTTTTATGTAAATAAAAGCTATAAAGATCTGTGATCTTTTTATACTTTTTTCATGTAGCTAAAAGCTGAATTATTATTGTGGGAGTATTTTTTCACTCTCGAAAATTTTTCGTCAACCACTGTACTCTCTGGGCCATAAAATCCCTTCCCCGGCATTCAAGGGGCTCATGACGTCACGGGACCCCAAGAACAACGCTGAGTGTTAGCAAAGGCTAACACCCTCAAGAGTCAAGGGGCATGAGGCAGATTTTCCTCAGGCTCTGAGATACACACATCTACGGTCTAGGACACTGGTCCTATTATCCTTTATTTTACTTATCGTATCATTGTAATCGCGAAGTACTATCTTGACATTATTATTTATACACGAACTATCTATTGTATCATTTACTGATAACTATATTCTACGGGATTGATTATTTATTGTGAGATTTAATTAACTTCATTCGAATATTGTAAAGAGTATAGTTATAACTTGAATAAATTATAAAATTAAAGAAATGGACTACTACATTATATTAAAAAAAATTATTTGATGATTACCTGCACCACCCATTCCTTCAGGAAGAGGCACTGTACCCGTGAGAAATATGACAATGTGATTGACATTGTCAGCATCGGGTACATTTATTAAAAATTGATTTTCACTTATTTGCTGGAAGTCTGTTTGCACCTAAAAATTAAATTGTTTTACTAATTAATTATTTATACTGACTAATTAAATTACATAAATATTTATAGTGATTTAATTATTACCAGACGACCGGACACAATTATTCCCAACATTTTATTGTATGTTTAATTATTCTTAGAACATCATCAGCTGGATAATACAATAAAAAAAGCTAGGCTTCAATTCAGCTTGTTTATCTTTTGACAGTTCAATAAAAAAATAGTTGATAAATACAATTATTATTTGTAAAATAACAATTTATAATCACAATCACAATGTGCAGCTAGTTTATGTATATAGGGTTCAGTTTACAATAAAAAAGTTTATTTCGATTGTTTTGAGTCGCAACCTCACAACAGTAGAGTCGCTCTGATCGTTTTTGTTCTTGAACTTTCTGGAAAAATATTTTTAAGTCAGCTGTCAAAAATTTTAATTTTTTAAATAAAATTTGAATATTAAAAATTTTATTTTTAAAAATTATTCATAAAAAAATAAATAAATAATTTACTTACTGTAAAAATAAATCCAGGAGATTTCGTTCTTATCATTGTTAATTTATTTAAACAAGGCGCTAGTGTGCAGTTCTGGATTCAAAAATAACCGGAAATTTTAAAAATACTTGCGACGTAATACAAAACTTTTTTTTTTGTTGATAAAATATATTCATGAATTATATATAAATATGAACGCATCAAAATCTCCACTGCGTTTGTTGATAAATTTCGAATAATGAAGCCAGCGTTGCGCTCTACAATTTATCTGAATATATTAATGGCAACATAAAGATAAGTGGTACACTTCTTGAGTTTCTACGGCGTAAAATATATAATATATAATATATATATATATATACATACAATTAAGTAATCAAACTCTACTTACATATCACTAAAAAATTAATTAACTTATCATCTTCGTACAATTTAATGTTTAATGTTATCTTCAGTTTTCAAGTGCAGCTAAAAAATTTTTTATAATAACTAAAAAATAGTGTTTAAAAAATCTAAACTGGAATAATTTATAACACTAAAGTTAGCCGACGTTTTTAATTTTTTTTAACCATTAAATTAGAACTAAAATATTTTTTTTTTTAATTGCACTGACAGTTTATCAAGTTTTTTACAAATGCAATTTTTTTTTTACAAAAAAAAAAAAAAATGTTAAAAATTTTTAGGTGTCTGTGTTTACTGATCAGCTGATTTGGCTAAATGTGTAATTTTCCATAATTTACATAAATAAATATCCATTTTGCAGAAAAATTAATAAAGAAGAAATCAATTAATATTTTTAATTTTTTTTCCAGGGTCTCTGAAACAAAACAAATAATTAATCAATAAAAAATATAACTTGTGAGCTCCGTAATTAAACGATAAACTTATTAGTTAATAAATAAACAAACAAGATAAAGATACATATAAAAAATTAATAAATATAAAATATGTCGGAGATATATATATTGAATTTCCTACAAAACTCCGTTACCATATTTGATCAAGAGAAGAAACGAAATAACGTTTGGCGTAGAGCGCTTTCTCGTTCCTTTCTATTTCTATCTTGTGCTATCTTACACTGGATAGATCTAAACAACAACAAAAAAGACAGAGATAAAGCGACGAATCGATGATAAAGAGCGAGTGTCAGTGGAAAGAGATAAATAAATTGCGATGTATAACATAAAACAATAACAATAATATAAAAGTAGTGGGGGTAAAAATGAAACCCGTCGGTTGGCGGTTCGCGATTCGTGTTTATCCGCCTGTATTCGTACATAAGCTACTCTGGCTAACCGTATACTATATGTGTGCTTTAAAAATATGTATACATGTAGATGTATACATAAATACATATATATAGATATATATAGCAGTGTGTCAAGTTGACAGTGTGACATCACGCTTCATTGTTAGAGGTTTACGTCATTCTTTTTATACATTTTAACATTTTATATACAGTATACACAGTATACAGTAGTACGTGTGCGAACCGTGAGTGGAGACAACGCACACGCAAATTTTTTAGCTGCTACCGCAAAAACACTTACTCGCCACAATCTTGTCTCGGTGTCTACACTACTCGCGTTGTTTATCATAATATGTATATATAATCACCATCACAGTATCTATATCTATATACATATTATATTATATTCAACAATACAAACAATTGTTATACATTAATTGCAATATAACAATTACATTTACGTGGTAAGATATTAATTAATATTCACCGTGATGTATTATGTTTATTTTATTTCTTCTTTTATCGATCAGAAATCACTATTGATTTTCAGCTGAATTAAAAAGCAAATTTTTTTAAAAAAAAATAATTCCACAAATAAAACACTCGGCTGATGGAATATTTTATTGTTATTTGATGTTTGATGTCACGTGGAAATATCACCAAATTTCATTGATTATTATAATTCTTGGAGGCATTTTAATTTTCATTGGAATTAATATTTAATTTTAGAGGTAAGTTTGTTAATTATTTTTTTAATTATCCAGTTAAACTAGTGGGTAAACAGGAAACAATATCAAGTGATAATATTACTGTCAAACAGATTATTATTATTATTTTTTAGTTATGAATAAAAATATTTGTTTAACTGAGTGATATACTTATTTTAAAAATAAATATATCAGTCAATTGTTTACCGAGTTGGAGCGTGTGACAATTTTGGGAAGAAAAGATTTTAATTTTTGATTTTTTTTTTTTTTTTATATTAAAATTTATATGTCTCTATATATATATATATATATATGTGAGTGTGTGTATGTTGCTCAGAGTATAATTCCGTTTTTGCTTTTCAGAGTTGAGCGCACGATGCCGTGTGTGTTGATTCTTTCATTTTAAATATAACGGTGTGTATAAATAAGTATGAGCAATAGCGCGAGTACGCAAGGTTGCTGTCGTCGATGATGATTTTGCGGAGAGTTTGAATAGTTATTTACCATTCATGTTAATTTTTAATCGAACAAGTATAAGAAGGAAGTAATTAAATACAATAGTATTGTATTGTGGAATGGCTCATTGAGATATTGAGTAAATAGACAAGAGAAAATAAGTACGCATCGAGAAAGAGATAAATAATTGTTGGATTGGGCTTTAAAAGAGAGATGGAGAGAAAGATCGAGGAATTGAGAAAATGAAAGCAATCGATGGGATTGAATTAAAAAGTTATACCACGTATACATATATATATATATATACATACGGATTTGTTTAGAGTGTAATACACAAACAGTGTAGGGTCTATACTCTCGAGGTTTCAGCAAGGTTAGTCAATAAGCTATACATAAATATCATTCACTTTTATTTTGCTTTATTTTATAATAAAATCTGGAGTAATAACGTGTATTTTTTTCTATTTATTCCGCCGACGCAAAAATTTCATTTTTGTTAATATAATACTGATGTAATTAAGTACACGCAATTTAAGTCTTGTTCTATTTAAATTTATTATTGATTTTTAACTTTGTTTCTTTTTACTGTTACAGAATACGGAGTATGAACTAGACCTGCCAATTAAAGTTTAATTTTTTTTTTTTTTCAAAGTGTGTTAACAATGGGAATTGTAAATGTTATTATCAAAGTTTATTTACAATCTCATTTTAATTTACGTAAGTATTTTTTTGATGATACAAAAAATTTATTACTTCTTTGAAATAAACTAATACTTTAAAGATTATTTAGTTGAAATAAATTTTTTATTCGTTATACGTGTGTAATATTACAAGCCAATGCGTTTATTTTTGATTTTTAATGTCGTCTTGAACAGATAAGAATCTAAATTACACTAAAAGTCATTTATTTTGGGAAGCATTATTCAACGCTATGAATGGTGGATTCTCCGTGTTATTGAGTCTTAATAGCGTGATTATAGATAATAAAAAAAAAAAAAAAAAAAACGATGGGTCATCTCTGTACAGTAGTGAATTTAATAAAAAAAATTGTCCGGTATGACGCATTCGAGCGAAGTAAAGTATCGATCGGAGTGTATAAATCACTATTATTTATAATCATTTGTAATTTATTATAATGAGTGTTGGTCTTTATTGTTATTGGTTTTTTGTACCCAGGTGAATCTAGTAGACATGAATTTGTCAGTAGCCGAGCATCAAGTGCGTGAAATGCTGCAGCAAGCAGAAGACTGCACTGAGGACAATCCTGATACCTGTATAATGATTGGAAATTTGAGTACATTTACAAGGATACTTGCACAATTGTGCGAACAACGGTATTATTATTTAAATATCTAATAATTATTAGTTTAATATAAAATCTCTCTATTTGTTACAAAATAAAAATTGTAATTATTTTGTAGCCAACTCCAATGTTGGAGACTATTCAAGATGACGAAATAAGACATTATGTGTCTTACTGCAAAAGGATTTGATATTAAAAAAGTATGTCTATTTAAAACAGTTTTTTTATTCTTTTGAATAACTGTTTTTAGTTTCACATTAATTTATGTTTATTACAACACATTTATTATTATTGTTATTACTACATTTACTTAATATTCACGTGCGTTGGTGTGTTTTAAGCATCTAATTTTTTTAAGTATCAAATCCATCTGCGGCTGTACTTTGTTTTTAATAATAATAATAAGCTTTCAATATACCCTGAGTCAGTCAGCGACTAAATTCATTTCTATAACAACCTATATTTTTTATTTTTTACTTAATTTTTTTTTTTTTTTTTTTTTTTTTCTTACAGAGCAACTGTTCCTATGAGTGCCTCTCACTCGTTACACTGTAATGGAAAGGAAAATAATGGTAAAATTGGATCAAGTAAGTGAGCCACAATAACTCAATTTAGCCCATTCAGGTTACATTTATTTGCTTTAATCTTATTCACTTATATCTTTTTTTTTTCATCTTTATTAGAAAGGATGGCATATCAAGTATTTTTGGGTGGATCTTGTAATCCCACAACTTGGCGATCAGAGATAGCAATCCCTACGCTTCAAAGACTTGGAATTACTTATTATAATCCGGTTAGAATTGTTTATTTTATTATTAATATATTCAAAATTTTTTCGGATGAATTTATTAAAATTTTTTTTTTTTTTTTCACATTTATTTACAGCAAGTCTCTCAATGGGGACCGGAATTAATCGCCGAAGAATACGAGGCTAAAGAAACGGCACAAGTTTTACTTTTCGTAATAGATAATCAAACTCGTAATACCGCGGGTATAATTGAGGCGGCTCAACTAGCGGCTACAAGAAGTCATTCATTAGTACTTGTTGTTTATCATTATCAGCAAAATCAAACTATTTTAGGAGAAACTATTTCCGCATTGTAAGATTTATTTTATTTAAAATTTTTATCTAAAATATCAAACAATAAATATTTACAATATTTTTAGGGAATATTGTGATTTAATGAATGGGCTATTAGTACTTGAATATTTAACAGAGAGACAAGGAATTCCCATATTTGAAAGTATCTCCGGTGCCCTAAATGGAACTTCCAAAGTAATAGTTGAAATAATAAAATTATTATATATGTTATTGTAAATAATTTTTAAAAAATAAAATTTATTTTTTCAGATTCTCCGAGAAGCAATTAATGTTCAAGATTTGAACCACGAAGACGGAATAAAGCCTACGCAAAAAAACGGCATCGATACAATGTAAATATTATTCTTCAACACTCTTAACTTTTATCAACGATCATTGTTATAAAAAGTTATAAAAAAAAATTTATTCTGGCTATTTTTGTGCAGAAAATTGAAAGAGGTGTTTGGTTCTATCGACGTCAACGACACAGGAACTGTTCGTTTAGAAGATGTAAGTCTTTTTTTTATAAAAATTAATTTTACAAATTATTTATAAAAATTTTACATCTATATTTCCAGGCCTGGAGAGCGCTGCAATCAAGTATTAAGTGCAATATGTCCATGTCTGAATTATTTAATGCCATTAGTCAATCAGGTTGGTAATTTAAATAAAAAAAAATTATCTCAATTTTATACAGAAATAAATTTATTGTAGATACCTACGAGAGTATAATGAAAAATTGTTCAAGTATAGAAGACTTAGCTGGACAACAAATAAATTTAGAGCAATTTTTGGCGTTAGCAAATGAATGGATGCAGCGATTTAAAAATAATATAACCACATGTGAAGGTAATTATTAAAGAATTATTCGATGTTTATTAATCAATTAATTTTAATCACTAAATAAATTTATTTCTGTCTGTCTTAGACTGGACGCAAAGCCATGTGCCTGATTCCGAGAAATGTGATTTATATATTGGAGTCGTTGGGAAAGATCACATTTGGTTAGAATCATCAGCCATACCACTGATTGAGTAAGTATAATATAATAATTTAAAAAGGTTAATGGCAGATCAATGCCTTTTATATAGGCAAATTAATTGATTTAAATTGTTTTAAATCTTCAGATCAGTAGGCCTGTCATTAAACCGACCGAGTGCAAATGATTATACGGTTATGACAATGCCATCAGAGTTACAACGAATGAAAAGCTCACGAGTTATTTTATTGGTACTACCTCAGCATTCGCGGGGTGTTGCTATAGCCGCATTGGCAGCTCATTTAATAGGACTACGCGCTAAGCTTGTCCTTTGTATACAATTAATGCCCGATGGCTGTGTTGTTTCTGGTGAACAGGTAATTTTATATTTTTAATTTTTAATTATTGTTAAAATTTTAATTATTCCTCAAAGTAAAATTATTAATAATTATTATTAATTTCACAGTTAACCGAGCAAGCTACAAAAGACTACAATCGTGGTAGAATGTATCTCTCGGACTATGCAAAGCGCGAAAATGTACCTGTATTTCAGAAGATCGCTGACGCGTTACAACACGCGATAAAGCTAGTTCAAAGTTGAATTTAGATTTTATTTCTTATGATTTTTTAAAAATTATGTTTTTACATTGCTATAACAATTTAGGTACACCGATACAATTGACTAATTTATTTTTATTCGATTCATTATTCACTCACGCTACTCTCAAGTTCCTTAATATCTCTAAGTTGATTTTTTATCAACTTTTCTAATGAGGAACCACCATTTTATCATCTGTCGTTATTAATTTTTATATTTTTACTTAATTAATAATTTGTTAATATATTATTATTATTATTACTATTATGTTATAGTTATAATATTCATGAAAGTCCGATAATGACTGTGTACTTACTACACATTCGTGCAAATGATAAATTTTGAGCTTTAATATCAATATAATATTTTTATTAAGGATCATTATTTTATTCTAATTATTACGATTATTGTTATTATTAATATTATTATTATCATTTCAATCATAACTTTTATTCATTTGCGATTTACATCTGTACGATTGTTTATCATTAGATCATTTATTTTGTAAAAATAATTTTTAAAAAAACGTTTTGTTGCCTTACTAAATTTTTTTAATTTTTATTAATTTTTTAAACTATTTTTACTTATTTTTTTTTTTTAGAAAATATTTTTAATAAAAAAAAAAAATATATATATATATATATATATAATGAGATCAGATAATCACCGTTGTGCAATTATTGAACACTTAATATTCACTGACAAAAAGACAATTATTCGTTACGTTAATGATCAAATAATTATCATCTATCGAACGAAACCTCAATTCGCTTAATTATAATCTAAGTAACACGTAAAGCTTTATCTGATCTGACAGCAAAAAAAAAATATACATTATATAAAAATTTAATTATTTGATTTTACTCTTTGATGGTAAACAATCTAATAATTTTTTAAAACTCAAATTAATGACTGGATCAATAAAAAAAAAATTGATATTTTATAATTTAGTTGTTTTAATTAACTGAATTAACTGAATAACTTATAAAATTTTAATTATAAGTGTATATTATTTATTTATATTTTTTTCAATTACAAAAATGTTAAAAACTTACCATGAATAAATTTATCAAATGAAAAATAAATCGCCTAATATTTCAATGGCTTTTTTTATTTAAAAAATACCGGCTTATATTTTTCAAAGATAATAATACTGGAATCATTACGGGTAAAAATAAAGGAATATACACTGCATACCTATGTAAAAATAAAATAAGATAATTATCGTACGATTTTTATCATACTTTACCATCAAGAATGTTTTAAGTAGGCGTTACTTACTTTTGATCATCAGGAAAGTATAAAAGCGCTAATAACGACGGATCTGTGAAAGCTTTCTCTGCGGTAACAAAAGATTCTTTACTCAAAGAAAAGCCCTCCATTAATTTTCCATCGAGTAATTTTTCCGCCGACAGGTGAATAAGGTCAAGAGCAGTCTTTATTCTATTTCCGACTGTTTCAGTAATAACAATATTACTAATTTCCTCCAAAAGCTGTGCCAGTGACTGTAAAGTTAATTTCGCTGATGTAAGTTGTTCGATCGCGCGAACGCGTAAAAGCGCGTCAAATTCCCATTCACGGAGAATCGATTCTCCGGGCGTGGGAGTCACCATAATCCCCGGAATTTTATCATCCTAAAAATAAATCAACTATTCATAAAAATATTTAAATTCTAATTAAATCAAAACTTACCGGCTCTGGAATTCCTAATAAAAGTCTCAGCTGTGACAAGAAAACTCCCATGATCGTTACCGCATTTGGAACAACTTCAGCAGGTTTATCGTAATTACTTTTAATTGCCTGTTTACAAACGTCAGTCGGAGAGTTTGAAATAACTACACCTCCCCAACGAGGAGATAAAAATGCTTTGACATTGTTTACAGATTTTGATTTGTCCCCGCTCTTGGTATAAATATACAAAGGTGATTGATCGCAAGGTACTGAATACATTACAAGATTTATACACGGATGCAAACTTACTTGCGAAGCTGTAAATAAATTAATTTTTTATAAATTAATCCAATCAATTTATTAAACTATTTTATTTATATTGATTTATTTACCTAATTTTTTTTCTAGCGGTGTTATTAATTGCGGTAAAATACTCTCTGACAAAGCAAAGTGTCTTCCCAATTCACTGCTGTCGGGTATTTGCTTCGGTGTAATATCCAGCGGCATCAAGTACAGCCATTGCGACTTGACGGAAAAATTTGCTATGACTGACAATTGATCCAAAAAGGGCTCAAGATAGTCTGAAAAAAATTATAAAACAATAATAAAAACAAAAATTAAAGATTAAAAAATAATAATTAAAAGTACCCCGAGTTATATTAGACAGATCCCATTTAACTGTTAATTTTTTAGGGTCTGGATTGACAACTGTAAGTAAAACATCGTAAGTGGAACTTGGAGGAAATCTGCGACGATTTTCTTCATCCAAGCTGTACTTTGTTGGATCTGTCATAGCATTTCTTGTCAAAATCAGTGATTCATCCCTAAGAATCATGTGAGACAATATTTGTACCAGTTTAGACGCATCTGAAATATTTTTTAAATATTGAATTTAATTTCAAATAAAATATAAATAGATTATTTAAATTAAGTAAAAATAAATTTATTTACCAGTATTTGTTGGGAAGAAAATAGCCCGATGATGACCAACAATAATCTCATTAAGATTCGGCGCTTCGAGAAATAAAAAATCTCCGATTCCAATGTCAAACGTACGAGCGATTTTCTCATGGTCATATTGCGTAAAAACTGAATTTACAAGATTCTTAGATATAACTTCATATGATACACTGAGGCTGTACAGCGCTGGAATAATTAAAAAATAATTAATTTATTCCGTTATTAAATATGTATCAAACTAGTGTCTTTGATAATTGTTACGTAAGACTATAAATAATAATAAATAATAAATAAACAAAGGTACTATTGATAGATATCTCAGTTGGTATGCTCAATAAGGTTATTTTAATTTTTATATCTTCTGGCTTTGTTGTTGTGATACTTATCAAGATATGTTATCTAATATTGGACGTGGGAAATAAATGTTTTTTTTTTTTTAATTTTCAACTTAATTAAATTATTCATTTGTCCTTACTTGAATTTTCAAACGCTGTTTTAATTTGGTTTGTTATAACTTGAGCATGCTGCTCGGAAGCTGATGCAATTATAACATTACCGCGTATTTTGATATTTAGATTTGATAATTCCCCGATTCCGGAGTACGGCAGTGTCACACGTGGTACTGCTGTCGTGTGCCACCATAGAGGCACTCCAATTCCAAGTAATAAAAATGCAAATGATACACTTGCATACAATCGATATTTTTCTGAAACAAATTAAAGTTAAGTAAATAAATTTGATAACATTAAAGTTAGCAGTCACTTGACAATTTAATTTTATTCAACAAAAAAATTTCTTCCAAAAAATATGATGATAAATTTTGATAAAATAAATAAATAAATGATAAATTACCAGATATTTAATAATTTTTAGAATTTTTTTTAACAAATAAATTATGGCAAAAAAAAAAAAAA